GAGAGAAAGAGAGCAGACAATTATGTACCGGTAAGCATTAATCATCAATACACTCAGATTCAAAAAAATGAAAATAATAAAAAAATTAAAATAATAATAATAATAATAATATTTTCCTTTCAATTGATTTATTTTTGCTTAAACAGCAATTGGGCAATGAAAAATCTTATAGAATTGTATTGACTTAAGAACTGCTTTGTCCATGTATCACAGTATCATTGTGGCCCATTGTAGGAAAATACATGATGGTGGTTGGCAGTCTGTTGTCTGCAGGTGATACTCCAAGGGTGAGGGCAGTGAAGGTACAGGATCTGTCCCCCTCACAAGCAATACAGCAGGCTTCCTGGCCACTGGAGGTCGTGGATTTACAGTTGCATGGGGACAGCTGATAGGAGAGAGGATACATACAATGCAGGCATTATCTTCAGCATCCAAATGGCCTTTGGTCCTTGTAATATGTATGCATAGTTTATCCTGAGACTTCATGCAGCCAAAGGACTGCACCAGTATAGAATCACTGAGGAAATAAAATATGAAATAGATTTACAAAAGTTCTCTCTTTGTTGGCAATATAAGGCCAGTGGCAGTGCTCTAAGACTCGAATAATGTGCCTCAGTCACTATGATAAAGACTCACGGCAGTGTCTTGCATGCTGTGTGCAACTTGAGACAGATTTTCTGTGTATTGAAATACTGAACCAAACGGTAATTTTTTTCTGACAAATGTTTTCCTTCACATGGTTGCTTTATCAGTAAAACTCGAGATGACAATATGTTAAAAAAGAATGTATCTTGGTGGTCATGAGACACAAAGCCACCCATAACTGTTTTGTCAAGTCTTTTTATCCTTGGTTGTAATGTGGGGAAGGTAGAGATTAATGCTCAGGTGATTTCCTAGAACTTAAAAATAAATCATACACTACAGTAAGGCCTTGGATCAATGCAAACTAAGAAAAAAACATTGGCGTCATTTCCTTTTTTTCAACACCAGTATCTGACACCAGTAATAAGTTGTGAAGTTCTCTGAAATTCAGTTGTTAGTAGACTTTGTAGGTGTAATTTCATTCACCGAAACTTGACAAGCAAAAGTGATGGAAATAAATTTATTGTAAAGTTTGTAAGACTATATTTATTTTCATTACTAAATTCCCATATATCAGTGATATATAGTGTATATAATTAAAGGGTGATATTACTTAAGTTCATTTTTATGATATCTTGATTAAGATGCAAGTATTGAGAGAAACACTGAACTCAAAGTGAAATGACCTTCACGTTTATTATAACTACACTATAACTGTAAGAATAAATGGAAAAACAGTTTTACAGACGATTACGCTAATTGTTCTTATAAGCTTCCATTAACTGCAAAAATGAAATTGAAAATGCAAGAAATATAACACTTCATACTATGCCATAGAAGATTTTTAATGACCTTGAGTCTTGTTAATTAATTGTCACGTTGCTGTAAGTATTTACATTTTATTAGTCTGCATAAGGGTAATCAACATATTCAAAATATATTGCATGTTTCAGAAGAGCAGTAATCAGATCTTCCACACGGTTGCGTGCTGACAGATGGCAAGTTGATACATACGCATGAGGTTGTGTAGGTTTACTTGCCTGTTGTCGGATCTGAGCCATGCTGTTTGTAGCGTGCTGCACCTGCTTGTACGTCAGGTGACAACTGAGTGAAGGATTTTGTCACAATGATAAAATATTTTTTGACTTTTGAGAAAAAGTACAAAAGTGGATTATTCTTCGTATTTGTTGTGAGACTATATATTATTTTACCCGTGTTTGGCCACGCGGTCGCTGTTGCTTGTTATCAATCTAAATTTTGGGAAAGGCGGTGTTTTTTTGTGTTAGTACACGTGCAGCCTGTAAGACGATAACGAACTGAGACAAAGCTACTTTCGTGCAAAAAAAAGTATTTTCGATATTTCGATAACCAAAAACGTTTTTATGGTATGCCAGAGAAACTTCAGAAATGGTAATTGGCAGTTAAACGCCAGTAATGTGACATGACCAGTTGTAAGTATAAATAAGCATCCGCTTGATAAATCGTGCAGACTGGGTTCTCGTGCCTAGATCGATCCATCTGGATAGGTTTAACTCCCTGGGGAGTCTCACTAAATTGCTGTCAACTAACCTGCTTAAATGTCTGTCACGCCTACCGAATCAGCTAGGGGGTAAAGATAATTACCCGTTAACAGCTTTACTAGGCGTGACAGACATTTAAGCCGGTTGAGTTGATAGCAATTTGGTGAGACTCCCCAGGGAGATAGATCATTCCAAGTATCTGTGATAATGGTCCCTTAGAAATACCCCTGGTACAAGCATATTTGGACTTTGCGGCTTAAACAATCTACGTAGAATCTTATCCTTTTATTTAATAATGATGGGCTAAAAACCATTATCCTAGTTACACTTGCCAATCATAACGTTAAATATATGAATACCGATGTAATCTGCAGCACGGAAAATACTGAGCCTTTCCCTTTTAGATAAAGAAGAAATAATATCAGTATATATTATAAGTTATTACCCATTCGAGGTGTATTCACCACATTGTACTGTTTGCAAAGATCTAAATTTGCTTCATTTATTATACACGTGTCGAATCTCCAGGAAAACCCACCCCACCTTTTTTGCTACTGTTATGTTATTCAGTGCAGCTACGATCTTAAATTACTTGAGCTTTATATGTAACTTTGTGGATTTTGTCGTGTCCATATATCAAATAAAAAGCCATAGGTATAATTTGCCCCACCCGTAAAAGTGTTTTGAATTTAAGGAAAAGAAGTTTGTTGTGTATTTATTGCCAATGTACAGTTTGGAGGTGTAAGTACTTACTGGTAGTGGCACATTTTCTGCAGACCTACATATACGTCACAACTCTTCAACGATTAATATTGCACTTGAAACAATTTCAGGAAAATTAAATTATCCTTTATTGTAAAACTTTGTGGCGATACATATCGAAAGATTGCTTCTTTTTATTAGACTACTTGTTTTCTTTAGGCTTTATGTTAAAACATTTGCCCAGGGAGATTTTCAAAGGATTGACATCGAAATCCTTGGCCATAAGTTTAAAAAATCTATGGGACCTATAGTGCACAGAAAAGCTCTTAAAATATGAAGGCGTATTTTGAAGCCTTTTTTCAAAAATGCTGTAGTTTCATTTGCTATGTGTGCAAAACCTGTCTTCATGTTGCACGTGTACTTACACAAAACCACGCTGCTCTCCCGCTTTATTTTTTCCTCCTTTCAGATGGAATATTGTAGGGAGTAAACACAATGTTCGTTTGCATGTGAATCATCAGTTGAGCAAACCGAGTGCTAAGCAGATACGTACACTGCTATATTTTATACGCTTAATTGCCGAAGCTGACAAGCTGATTTTTGTTACCTGGATCTTGTCGCAAGCCTTTTGTCTGCTAATTAGTCCATTTTTAGAGAGGCTCCACAACTGGTTTTACGGATTACAGGTTATCCAGTCAAAATTAAGGAAAGTTAAGGAAACTTAATGAGAAAAACAACGAAAAACAAAGTTGATTCTGATCTGAGACTTTTGATTAGACGTTTTGTTCTAAAGTAAGGGTCGCATAGTTAAAACAACTGAGACAATCGCAATTTCATGATTTTAAAAAAGGAAATCTTCCTAATGCCGGAAAAAGTATGAACCGTTTTTCAATTTTTATGTCTGCTGGCACATGATGCTTCTGAAAAGCACTATATCGATAGCTGCTCTGGTTCGTGACTGAAAAAAGAAAACGAAACCGAACATGACACTTTACCCAAAACACATTTTGTCAACTGCGAAATTGTGCAGCATCTTCTGAGTGAAATTAAATATACACACAATGAATAATACTATCTAATTAATCAGTTGCATGCTGCAACTTTTGTTCTGTTCCAGATTTTACCTTCCCTCACGCGTAAGTTGCCACGTTTCACTAATGACGTTTTCTTTGAAAAAGAACAGACGGGTTTTGGCAGAATGTACACCATGCTAGTAATATAATCGTGCCTCCTAAGAAATGGCGTGTTTCATACATCATTAAGCTGTACGATAAGAATGCGTGAACAGATGCCTCACATTCATACAGAAAACTCACTGTGTTTTGTGTTTGTGTGTGTGTGTGTGTGTGTGTGTGCGCATGTGTGACGTGAAAATAATCCACGTTCATGCACACATAGCGAATGAAACTGTACAGCATTTTTAACAGAGGCTTTGAAATACGCCTTTTCCTTTTTTTTCAGATTTTCCAGAGAAAAATTTATAGTGAAATTTACAGTATATATATGTAACTGTTGTAAATATTTTAACACTGTCGCTTAGCTATCGTTTTTTAACCACACACACACACACACACACACACACACACACGTGCTTGATGGTTGATAAATCACTTCAGTTGCCCAGTGCTAGACACTATTAACACAATGATCTGGGATTATAATATCAGAAGAAGCCTCATAGGGATCTCTTTATATTACATGGGTATAACAATAAAACATTAAAACAATCCTCAACCATAGGAAAAACTGGCTTTTATCCATGACCATATATGGTCACATAAAGACTATGACAGGCGATGATTTCTGTCGTGGAGCCGTGAGTCAGTCCTTGACAAACCTGGTACATTGTAGACCTGAGAATTTCGCAATTCTCCAATATATGTGGTTAGAAAACCAGCCAAATTAACTTAAGAAACAGGCATTTAAATGTTTGTCAAATGTTTTAACGATTGCTCTTTGTAAGTGCTTCGGCAACTCTACAAAAGTATGTCGCTTGTTAAATCACAGCGAAACCATTTTGACTTCAGGTTATCTTGAAATGATTAATGATCGCATTGTGGAGGAGTTTTTTTGTGATAGGGAGGACTACGGGTTATAAGACGCATTTCTCTCTGTGTTGAAGAGAAAATTCTGCCTGCCGTTAGCAATAATAAAAAAATAAAACATGGTAACTCTTTCCGAAATAGGTGCTGCATGATTAGCACTTTCTGTTCCATGACTTGTCTCTACCAGTTTAGATTTGAATCCATTTGAAACAAGCTGCTTCCTAGCTGATTATATATAAATGTGAAATGAAAACGACCCCAGTGTCACGGTAGCGACAGAAACGACTATGTCTTCCAAACGATTTCCCTGGTCTACGGCACATGCATTCTCAGGTCTATCCTCTTGTCTAAGTTGCATATTGTCCTATTATAAGTTTTTGAAACCTTATCAGTGGTTGAGAGGGTATATCTTATCTTGATTACATTAAAGACTAATGACAATATTCTAGGTGGAATTTAAATCTTTTTCTGTCTGTCTGGTTTTCTTATATATATATATATATATATATATATATATATATTAGCAATAATAAAAATATATAAATTGCTTACATAGCATATATATATATATATAATGTAACAACATAGCACAGATTATCTATTTCATATAGAAATTTATTTCAACATTTTAATATGCCTCGGATCTTGATGTCGTAAAGACATGTGGCATCTTAGATTGTGACATTCAACACAGCCATCCTTGTTTCCTGAAGAAACTCTGACATCCGGAAATTACACGCCGAATTGTCTTTATAGGTGTCATCAATCCAAACAAAACGCCCCCTTCTTTGATTAAAAGCCTTGGTATTTGCAAGAGGAAGCCCTCTGGACGAAACGTTATCACGTACAGTTATGTGGATGGGTGTACCTTCTCCACGTGGCAGTTCATAATTCACGTGGTAGACCGTGCGTTTTGCGAAGAGTGATCTGCACGTAAACACGGTTGCCTCTAAAAAAAGTGCATCTCATACATTTAATGCGATTGACACGGGTATTATAAAACTCGCATAAATCCACTTCCCATTGTTGCGTCTTCCATTGGAAGCCTGTTAAAATACCCATCTTGCCAATTAAACAACATTTGGGCATCAATTGACCACAACTGAACCCTATCGTTTTTCGATTTCCTTGCATCCCAGTAATTTTCCCTTAATTACGTTCTCCATTAGGAATATATTACCATCCAAGCTTTTCTATTAGAAAAACAATATCTACACATCACTTGACCACATTTGAACTCTATATGTTAAAGTTAAATTACACTATCTATTTAATCGGTCCAAAATGAAGATATATCTCGCTGAAATTAGATAACAGTGTGGAAATAAAACCTTCTACATGCTCATTTCACTCCTCCATTAATTAAATAAATAGGAGAGAGAGAGAGAAGCGGGGGTGATCACGGTTTAAAAATGGAAGCGCTAGTGTGGTGACAATGCATGGCAGAATCT